CTGTCTCGTTAATTGCTGCAGCTGTGGTTTGTATTGGTTTTTATTTATAATCTATATGTACTTTGGTTTTCGGACTGAATTTCTTCCCTTTTAAAGACTGTTCTTGGGAGAGTTTTTTCTCCAGCCAATGATAACTGGACATTGGGGGCCAAGTTGGAGGAATTAAAAGGACTTTACCTACTTTTGTGACTTTGTGGCTTTTGTACCACACCCCGGCTCATCACACTGGCCCCAGATGCATGAAAATCAACTTCACTTCTGTGAAGTGATGACAACACTGAGCAACAATCCTAAACCAAGAAGGACTTAACCCCACCTGGTTTGAGTTGATTGGTGAAGAACATGCCTAGTCAAGACTCAAGATCCTCACCTTTGACTTCTCTTGGGTTTCCTGAAGTTCCCGGGCCTGGCAACGTGCTCGTTCCTCTTGGGTTTCCTGAAGTTCCCGGGCCTGGCAACGTGCTCGTTCCTCTTCTGCCTTCTTCCTCTTCTCTTCCTCTGCTGTCTTGGCCATGTTTTCAAAGCGTTGTCTCAAGTTACCCATCCCAGCAGAAGCTGTTTGCAATGAGAAGGTCAATAGAGGGGCTTCAGAATTGGGAGAAGAAGCTTCCTCCATCTCCAATCAGAAGGAGGCGGGGAATTGTCCCTGCTGGGATTGTGTAGGTCCTCTGGTTGACTGGTCTTCAGGAGAGCTCTGTGAAACCTCCTTAAACCAGGGGTGTCCAACCAGGGGTGTCCAACCTTGGCCACTTTAAGACCTGTGGACTTCAACTCCCAGAACTGATTCCACATTCTGCATCCATGTACGTCGTGCCAGGGATGAGAAAGGGGCATTGTTTTGCTCTCTGTGAGAACTTCCCCTTCTTCCCAGTTGCCCATGGATAAACTTACTAGCTTCCACAGGTTTTGTCTTCTGATACGAGGAAAGGGGAGCTTCCATGTCACCAAAACCAGCAGCGCTCTGCAAGAGAAGTTGAGGGGAACCAATAAAAGAAAACATTCGTAGCCCAGGATTGGTCCTCTCTGAGCTTGATGGTTTTCTTGCAGACATTTCATTACCCAACTAGGTAACATCATCAGTGCTAGAGGGGAGGGGAGTTTGCAAAGTAGGGGGATGGGAAGAGGAGCAGGAAGACTGTGGGGTCCTTGGGGCTCTCTGAGCTTGGTGGTTTCCTTGCAGATGTTTCATGACCCAACTAGGGAACATCATCAGTGCTAGAAGGGGGTGGGGTTTGCAAGGAGGAGGAGAGGGAGAAGGAGAAGGAAGAGGAGGGGGGACACTGGGGTCCTTGGTGCTCTCTGAGCTTGGTGGCTTTTTTGCAGATGTTTCATGACCAAACTAGGTAACATCATCAGTGCTAGAAGAGAGTGGGGTTGCAGGAGGAGGAAGAGGAGGAGGTAGAGGAGGAGGAGGAGGACAATGACAATGATGATTATGAGGAGGAGAAGGAGGAGGACGATGATGACTGTGGAGCCATTGATGCTCTCTGAGCTTGGTTGTTGTCCTGCAGGTGTTTCATGACTCATCTATGGAACATCATCAGTGGTTTCCCCACTCACTTCTAGCACTGAAGTTGAAGTCCACCTATCTTCACGTTGTTAAGATTGGCAAACTAATCTAGATTTATTAAACCCATTCCTGATTTATCCCTCCCCTGAAGAATCCGTAGGCCATGAAAACAAGTCTTTCTCCTTTTACATCAGATTGAAAATGGCTGCAACACCCGCTAATGGCACCACTTTAAGAACGCAGCAACTATCACAGACCCACAGATCCCCACACACACACATTTTGCATGGACCCCATGCAAGATGGACATACAGTAAGCAGTGGGACTTCCATCATGCAGAAGTGGCCAGCATCTTGACATCCTTTTTACTTCCCTGTGTACCCCAGGTAGCATAAGTCCACTACCAAAGGGTAGGAGGAAGTTATGGACACCTTGGGTCTAAAGAATGGGAATTGTAGTCTAACATATCTGCAGGGGAAAACATTGGAGAAGCTTCTCCTGAAACCTTGATGTCAGGAGAATAAAATCAAGCCGTGGGGCTAGAATTAGAAGCGTTCGTGGTAGAGAGTTTGAGTGGGCTAATGTCCTCCTGAGCACCTTCTTCCAACCATCAAGACCCCAGCTGAGCCCACCCCAGGTTCAACATCCATTTACCTTGTCCACTCTGTCTTTCTGCACCCCATAACGGCCTCCAAAGCCTTGAGAATGGTCTGCAATAGAGAAAACAGGCAACTTTTTATGGAAGGGAGAAGCATGAGTTGAACTCAGAAGTCCGAGCTTGAGGTCCCTCAAGGGCTAGTTTGAAGAATAGATTGGTCCCGTGTTCTTTGTGGCAGCCCCTCAAATATACACCACTATACACAGCTAAGAAACGAAGAAAACATAATTGAAAATAATAAAGATGGGAGCCCAACATCTGCTACCCTTGGTTGTCCCCTGTATGGCAGCAATGCCACCATCTCTTTCAAGTTCTGGAAAAGAACCTGGAAGCTTAAATTTGTGAAGGAGGAACTGGATCTTGTGATTCTTAGCTAAAAGATAGTCAGAACAAGGTTTCTTTCTATGTGGTATATCTATGCTCTTCTAAGAGATTGCCCAGCTGCATCTCCTTCCACAGACCTGTTTGAGATTCATGGGGCTTGACTTCTTCCTTGTGGGCCCATCCCAGGGCAGACTTGTCTTGACGGTCCTTCTGCACGCCATACTTCCCACCAAACCCAACGGCATGGTCTGCAATGGAAGAACATGAAGTTCTTCAGAAAGCCATGAGAGATTAATTGAGATGAACCAAAGTTGACTTACAGCTTCCAGACCTGTTTGAGATTCATGGGGCTTGACTTCTTCCTTGTGGGACCAACCCAGGGCAGACTTGTCTTGACGGTCCTTCTGCACGCCATACTTCCCGCCAAACCCAACGGCATGGTCTGCAATGAGAAGACAAGACATTTTTCAGAAAGACGAAGAGACACGAGAGATTATTTGAGAGGAAAACAAAGGGACTTGCAGCTCCCAGCAAAAGAACAGAAAACAAGACATTTTCTGAGTTTGATGGATAGATACAATCACAAAACCAGCAGATGGCCTAGCCTGGCACAACCTAATAAGCCACTCCCAAATGCACAGCCTAACCAAGATCAGTAAAGTTAGTTTTCTGTGTGAGTGGAGCCACTAAATCATCAGTTGATCTGGTTTGGTGACCTGGTTATGTGTACATAGTCAGTATATTGTGGGGTCCATGGTGCTCTCTGACCTTGGTTGTATTCTTGCAGATATTTCATGACCCAACTAGGTAACACCATCAGTGCTAGAAGGGAGGTGGTTTGAGGAGCGCGGGAGGAAGAGGAAAAGGAAGAGGAAACGGAAGAAAGAAGGAAAAGGAAATAAGGAGAGGAGGAGGAGGAGGAGAAGAGGAGGAGGAGGAGGAAGAGGAGGAGGAGGAGGAGGAGGAGGAAGAGGAGGAGGAGGAAGAGGAGGAGGAGGAGGAGAAGGAAGAGGACGAGGACTATGGGATCCTTGGTGCTCTCTAAGCTGGGTTGTTTTATCGCAGACATTTCATGACCCAAACTAGGTAACATCATCAGTGCTGGAAGGAGGGGGGGGGGTTTGCAGAGAGGAGGAGGAGGAGGATGACGACTATAGGGTCCTTGTTGCTCTCTGAGCTGGGTGGTTTCCTTGCAGACGTTTCATGACCTGACTAGGTAATACCATCAGTGCTAGGAGGGAGTGGGCTTGCAGGAAGGAGGAGGAGAAGGAGAAAGAGGAAATGGAGAAGAGGAAAAAGGAATGAGAAGGGATAAAGAAGGGGAAGGAGAAGGAGAAGGAAAATGAGGAGGAGTGTGAAGTCCCTGGTGGTCTCTAAGCTTGGTTGTTTTGCTTGCAGACATTTTATGATTCAACATTACCTAGTTGAATCATGAAATGTCTGCAAGCAATATAACCAAGCTCAATGATAATGAAGGGGATAGACTACTGATGATGTTACCTAGTTTGGTCAAGAAACATCTGCAAGAAACCCACCAAGCTCAGAGTCCACCAAGGACTCCACGGTTCAACCTTGAACTACCAATATTGTCGTCTCTTTGAGGCAATATATTGCTAGGTGAGTAGGTTCTAAAGTTTTCTAAGTCTTCCTTTGTGGCTTGGGCTGGTCATTAGCTCTCAACCAAAG